GGTTCCCCCGCCCAGGGCGGCGCTTCGTTGCCCCATAGGGAGATCCACCGTGGGCTCCAGTGGCTGCTCTCGCATGCGGTTCCCCCACCCAGGGCAGCGCTTCGTGGCCCCATAGGGAGCTCCACCGAGGGCCTCAGTGGCTGCTCTCGCATGCGCTTCCCTTACCCAGGGCAGCGTTTCGTGGCCCCATAGGGAGCTCCACCGAAGGCCCCAGTGGCTGCTCTCGCATGCGGTTCCCCCACCCAGGGAAGCGTTTCGTGGCCCCATAGGGAGCTCCACCGAAGGCCCGCCCCAGTGGCGCAGTTCGCATGCGGTTCCCCCACCCAGGGCAGCGTTACGTGGCCCCATAGGGAGCTCCACCGTCGGCCCCAGTTGCTGCGCTCGCATGCGGTTTCCCCGCCCAGGGCTGCGCTTCGTGGCCCCATGGGGGACGCCACCGTAGGCCCCAGTGGGGGTGCCCGCGTGCGTTTCCCCCACCCAGGGCAGCGTCTTCTTCCGTGTTGCGTACCCTGCCACACATCGGCACGCCCCTCACACGGTTCTTGGCCTCATAAGGAATTCCACCGAAGGCCCCAGTGGCAGGGTCCGCATGCCGCCCCCCGCCCATTTCGGCGCACCGTTTGCACGTTTCGTGGCCCCATCGGGAATTCCACCGAAAGCCCCAATGGCAGGGTTCGCATGCGCCCGCGCCGCCCAGTACAGCGCTTCGTGGCCCCTTGGGGAGCTCCACCGAAGGCCCCAATGGCTGCATTCGCATGCGTCTCCCCACCCAGGACATAATTTCGTGGCCCTATAGGGTACCCCACCGAATGCGTTGCTCACAAAACGTGTACTCACAACTGCATATGGTTGGGTCCTTCGCCAGGCTAATTTTGGCATGGCCATTTGAGGAACAGTATCATGACCACTGTTTCCTCGTTTCCTTCTCCCTTGCTCCCTCTGCCGCTCTCCCTCATTCCTCAGCTCTACCTCCCTGTCTGTTTTTTTCCCTCCGTTTCTCCTCTCTGCCTCCCTGCGCACCTCCAGCATGGTCGCGCGTGTATGGATGCGTGCCCTGTGCCCTCTGAGACCGTGACGAAGGCGTAGGTGATTAAACGTAATTGCAGGGATAGTGCTCGTCGTAGTAGTAATCGTAATCGTAGTCGTAGTAGAAGAAGAAGTGGTAGGTCGTAGTCGTAGTAGTAGTGGTAGTAGTAAAAGTAGTAACAGCAGTAACAGTAGTAGTAGTAGTAGTAGTAGTAGTAGTAGTAGTAGTAGTAGTAGTAGTAGTAGTGGTAGTAGTAGTAGTAGTAGTAGTAGTAGTAGTAGTTCGTATTATTATTAGTAGTAGTAGTAGTAGTAGTAGTAGTAGTAGTAGTAGTAGTAGTAGTAGTCGTAGTCGTAGTCGTAGTCGTAGTAGTAGTAGTCGTAGTAGTAGTTCAGTAGTAGTAGTAGTCGTAGTCGTCAGTAGGTTCGTAGTCGTAGTCGGTAGGCGTAGTCGTAGTTGTAGTCGCAGTTCGTAGTCGTAGTAGTCGTGGTAGTAGTAGTAGTATAGTAAGTAGTGGTAGTCGTAGCAGTAGAGCAGTAAGTAGTAATAGTAGTACTACTAGTAGTAGTTCAGTAGTAGTAGTAGTAGTAGCAGTAGTAGTAGTACGAGTAGTAGTAGTGCAGCAGTAGTAGTAGTAGTAGTAGTAGTAGTAGTAGTATTAGTGGTAGTAGTAGTAGTAGTAGTCGTAGTAGTAGTAGTAGTAGTAGTAGTAGTAGTAGTAGTAGTAGTAGTAGTAGTAGTAGTAGTAGTAGTAGTAGTAGTAGTAGTAGTAGTAGTAGTAGTAGTAGTAGTAGTAGTAGTAGTAGTAGTAGTAGTAGTAGTATTAGAAGTAGTAGCAGTAGTAGTAGTAGTAGTAGTAGTAGTAGTAGTAGTAGTAGTAGTAGTAGTAGTAGTAGTAGTAGTAGTAGTAGTAGTAGTAGTAGTAGTAGTAGTAGCAGTAGTAGTAATGGTGGTAGTCGTAGTAGTGGTAGTAGTAGTAGTAGTGGTCGTAGTAGTACTAGTAATCGTAGTAGTAGTCGTCGTAGTGGTAGTAGTAATAGTAGGTTCAGGAGTATGAGTAGGAGTAGTAGTAGGTGTAGGAGTAGGAGTAGGGGTTGGATCAGGAGCCGGAGTAGTAGCAGCAGCATCAGTGGTGTAGTAGTAGTAGTAGTAGTAGTAGTAGTAGTAGTAGTCGTAGTAGTAGTCGTAGTAGTAGTAGTAGTAGTTAGTAGTAGTAGTAGTAGTAGTAGTCGTAGTAGTAGTAGTAGTAGTAGTAGTAGTAGTGTAATAGTCGTAGTAGTCGTAGTAGTAGTAGTAGTAGTAGTGGTAGTAGTAGTAGTAGTAGTAGTTGTTGTTGTCTAGTGGTAGTAGTAGTAGTGGTGGTAATCGTAGTCGTAGTCGTAGTCGTAGATCGTAGTCGTAGTCGTAGTAGTAGTAATGCGGTAAGTAGTAGTAGTAGTCGTGTGAGTAGTAGTAGTAGTAGTAGTATAGCGAAGTAGTAGTCAGTTAGTAGTAGTAGTAGTAGTAGTAGTAGTAGCAGTAGTAGTAGTAGTAGTAGTAGTAGTAGTAGTAGTAGTAGTAGTAGTAGTAGTACGTAGTAGTAGTAGTAGTAGTAGTAGTAGTAGTAGTAGTAGTAGTCGTAGTAGTAGTAGTAGTAGTAGTAGTAGTAGTAGTAGTAGTAGTAGTAGTAGTAATAGTATGTGTAAGAGTAGTAGTTGTAGCAGCAGTATGAGGATGATGAGGAGGAGGAGGAACAGGGAGGGGGGAGAGGAGGGACAGGAAAACGAGGATGGGAAAAATGGGGCGGGGCAGGGCGGTACGGATGCGGATGATGATGATGCGGATGATAATAATGCTGGTGATCATGTTGATGTTGATTCTGGTGATACTGATGTTGATGATGAGGATGATGATGCTGATGATGAAGATGACGAGGATGATGATGATGATGTTGTTGTTGATGATGCTGATGGTGACGATGGCGATGACGATAATGATGATGATGGTGGTGATGGTGATGCTGATGATGACAGTGCCTATGATGCTGATGATGCTGACAATGTTTGATTCCCAGCAAGTCCTCATCAGTGCGTCGCAGAAGTGCAGCTGTCAAATGAACAGCCGGATGCCAGATCTGGAGAGGGGATGAAGATGCGGGGAGGCGTGGGTTGGAGGTGATGCTAGGGCTTGGGTTCCTCTCTCGCCTCTTGGATCTTGTCGTCATCGTCGCCTTCCTGATCACCCTCCTCCTGCCCCTCCCCCTCCTGCTCCTGTGCCTTCCCTGCTTCGCTTTCTCCTGCCTTTACCCCGCCTTTTACACCTCTTCGGCCCACTGGACCCTCCCAAGGCCATGGGCAAGGGCACCAGCTTCAAGTTCACCTGGCCGGACTGCCTGCCTTGGTCCAGATGGGGATGATGGTTATGATGGTGATTGTGGTGGTGATGGTGACGGTGATGGTGATGGTGATGGTGATAGTCATCATGATAATGCCGATGATGCCGAGGCATTACGATGACGAGGATGACGAGGACGATGACGAGAACGAGGACGAGGATGATGATGATGGTGATGGTGTTGTCGGTGATGATGATGTCAGTGATGTTAATGATGAGGGTGTTGATGATGATGATGCTGATGATAATGATGATGACGATGACGGCGATTCTGATGGTGATGGTGATGGGGATGGAGACCGTGACCATGCTAACGATACTGTTGATATTGTTGTTGATGATAATTACGATTGTAATCATGATAGTAAAGGTTGAATCATTGTGATGCTGATTCTGAATAAGATGTGGATTCGGATGATGATGCTGATGCTGATGCTGATGCTGATGCTGATGATGATGACGATGACGATGATTAGGATGATGATGACCTTGACGATGACGACTGTGATAGCGATGATAATGACGATGACGATGACGGTCACTGCGATGATGATGATGGTGATGATGAGGACGATGTTGATGATGTTGATGATCACCAAGATGATGATGTTGACGATGAGGATGCTGACCATGATGATAATGCTGTTGATGATGATGGTATTGATGATATCGACGACGATGATGATAATGATGAGGATGATGATGACGACGACGATTATGATGATGCCGATGCTGATGATTATTATGACGATGCTGTTGATGATGCTGCCGATGATGATGATGCTGATAATGAGCATTATGATGATGTCTGTGATACTGGTGATTCTGATGCTGATGACGATGATGCTGATGCTGCTGTTGATGGTGATGGTGATGTTGATGGTGATGCTGATGCTGATGATGAGGATGAGGATGATGATGATCACGATGGTGATGATGATGCTGATTCTGATGACGATTCAGATGATGCTGATGATGATGCTGCTGCTGATGATGATGGCGATGATTATGATGCTGATGATGATGATGATGATGACGACGATGATGCTGATGATGATGATCATGATCATGATACTGATGACGATGATGAGGACGCTGATGCTGATGCTCACGATGATGATAACGATTATTATCATTTTTTTTAGTATTCTGACTCTTGTCTTCGCTTTTTTTGTATTATTGTCTTGACTAGTATGATCATAATAGTTTTTGATTATTTATATGACTATTATTATGTATAAGTGCCATTTCTTTTTATTGTTCTTACTATTCTCAAGTAACAGTATCATTAGTTTTCATAGTATTAGTACTCTGATGGTGCGGAGGCTGCTGCTGATGCTGATGTGGCTGCGACTGCTGCTGCTGCTGATGATGATGCTGCTGCTGCTGCTGAGGATAATGATGATGATGATGGTGATGATGGTGGTTGTGATGATGATGATGATGATGATGATGATGATGATGATGATGATGATGATGATGATGATGATGATACTGACGAGGAGGAGGAGGAGGAACTGGTCATGTGGCCTTCTGCCCATCCTGCCACCGTGCCTGGGTTGTAGGTCAGATGCCTCTTTAATGCCTGCTGGGATCTCTTCGGAGGCCTCTTGGAAGCCTTTTGGAGGCAGTTATGGGGTGTCTCGTGGCGGCCTCTTGGGCCGTCTTTGGGTTGTCTTAGGCCGTCTTGGGGTCCTCTTGGGCCGTCTTTGGGCGTCGGACGGTCGAAAAGGCGAGAACGCTGGCATAAGTCAAACGCATTTTGGACAGCCTGGTTTTTGCATCTTGTGGCCCTCTTGGGGCGTCTTGGGGGCCTCCTGGGCTTTCTTGAGGCAATCTTCTGCGTCTTGGAGCGCTCCTGGGCCATCTCGGGACCCCCCCCGGCCGCCTGGGAGGCCTCGTGGGGCCTCCTCGGCCCGTTCGTCTTGGGGCCCGCTGGCCTCCGAGAGGCGAGCGGGATGCCCGAGCGTCCAGGAGCGTCTTGACTTCTGGGGCGTGCGCCCCTCCCCCTCAGGAGTACTTACAGTAGCCCTCCCAAGGGTACCCATGCATCCCTACCCCGTCTGCCCATCCTTAGCGACTCTCGCTGGCCGCGCCCCGTTCGCAGAGTGTCGGCATGGGCGTCCAAGGCCCTGGCATCCTCACCGCGCATCCTTCTGATACGGGCCCATTGTACTCAACACAGGGAGCCCCAAAAAGGACCCGAGGGCACTCCACTTCCTGCGTCGGGGGCGTGGTGGCGGATAGCTTGACAACAGCAGTACAGGGGAGGGTGAGGTTTAGTATGACGGTCACGATGGTGCTGTTGGCCGTGATGATTCCGCTGCTGCGGCCGATTGTAAGGACGACGATGTTGATGATAATGATGAGGCTTCTGTCGATACCGATGCCGATAATGAGAATGGTGGTGATTATGACGGCTGATGAACACGGTACTGCTGCTACTGCGGATGCCATTGTTGACGTTGTTTACGATACATGTGCCGATACGGTAGACTGGTGAGTTGATGATGTAGATGACGACGGATATAATGATGATGCTGCCAGAAGCAGTGCGGATTAACATCTGGTTGTCTATGAGGATTTGGAGGTCGTCTCTGAGTATCCTGACGACGGTGCCGGTGCCATTGTTGCTCATGGCGATGATGGCGACGGCGATGATGATGCTTATGACGACGATGATGATGATGATGGTGGTGGTGATGATGCTGATGATGATTGTGTTGAGTATGATGATGGTCACGATTATGATGGTGATGCTGATAATGCTGATGATGTTGATGGTGATGGTGATGACAGTGCTGATGTTGACGGTGACGACGACGATGATGAAGATGATGATGCTGATGATAATGGTGATGATGATGATGATGGTGGTGATGATGATGATGATGATGTTGACGCTGATGATGCTGATGATGCTGATGATGCTGATGACGTTGATGATGATGATGATGCTGATTATGCCGATGATGATGATGACGATGATGATGATGCTGATGATGATGATGATGCTGCTGATTATGACGATGATGATGATGATGATGATGATGATGCTGCTGCTGCCGAGGTCGTTGTTGATGGTAATGGTTAAGATGATGGTGATGCTAAGAGGATGAGGAGGACGGCAATCTGGGAGGGAATATGCGGACTGACAAATGAATGAAATAATGGAGAAGGGGTGAATAGTAAAAGGAGCAGTAAGACGGGCAGCCGAGCTCTCTGGTTGAATGGCTGGGCTTCTGCACATGATGAGGGTGTTCTTTAGCTGGTTTGCACAGGTCGAGTAATAATGTTGCTGAGTCTCGGTAGCTCTGACTTCTGATGACACCTGGTCCTTTTGAGTCGTCGGTAGTGAACGAGCGCGGAGCTCGTGTTGGGCTCTTAGTAGGCATTAAGGCTCAACAGTGCTGGCTTGGATGATAAATTAGGTTTGCTCGCTCTCGACGTGGGCTTCGTACACAATCGAACGTGCAGCACATTGTTACCACAAGAAAGGCGACGAGGCGGTCTAGGCGAGGGCTTTGCCCGTGTGCATACGTGCGTGCGTGCGCGCGCGTCTGTGCTCTCAGCTGAGACTTGGCACACGCCCAAAGGCGTACGCGCGTGCAAGCGTGTGCGGTTTACGCTTTCGTCTTTCTCATCCTGTCCCCTCGTTCTCCCCATCTGCTGCAGCTGCTCCTCTTTTCCGTCTCCTTCTGTCCAGGGAGGATCGGGTGTTGCTAGACGTGCCCCTGGCCCAATGTGCCCCCAAGATTTCCACAGAGGCCCCCGCGGCCACCAGAGCACCCCTCACGAGGCCCAGCGGGCCCCAGGGGCTCCATAATTGAGCGAAAAGCTGGGGGCACCTTGGGCCAGGGGCACCTTTAGCAACCCCCGAGAGGAAGGTTAGAGGTTGAGGTGCGCATGTGGGCAGGACGGCTCCATTGACAAAGACGAGGTCGCCAACAAGATGGCGGATTCTGTGAAGGCCCCGTTCCAGACATGTGGATCGTGGATGAAACTAGTAGGCGATATCATGGTTACCATGGATCGGCGGCGAGCGAGGGGTGGGAATGAGAAGGGGCAGGCCTTCTCAGAAGGCGGCGGGACTTCTCAGAGACCCTAGCGTCTTCTCAGACGTTTTCCGTGTCTCCGGGGAAGGCTTAGAACACTTCTCAGAAGGCCAGGGAACTTCCGATCTTTCTGAGAAGGCCCGCCCCTTCTCATTTCCCCCCGCTCTCGCCTCCAAATGGATAGGAGTGACAGTTATGGTAAGGATCTGCACTGAAGAAAGTCGCGAGGTGACGAGCCCCTGCGACGACAAGGTTTTTGTTTTTTTTGTTTTTTGACATGCTCGCGCGACGACGCGCGCGCGTGCACTTCGCCCCATTTCGCAAGGCCAAGCAATCCCAACCAATGCCGAGCAATGCGAGGCAATGCGGAACAATGTCAGGCACTGCCAAACAATGCCCAGCACTGCTGAGCAATGCCAAGCAATGCCAAGCACTGCGCCCATGCAATAGGAAACTTTCCCCGGATTGGGGTCTCGCCTGGCTTATCCTTTTTGGGAATGGTTACATGTTGAGCAATCTAAGTTGTGCTATCTATGTGGTGCGCTCTATGTGATGCAGCCCATGCGGCAAACATAGAGGTTGTGCAATTGTATGCCTTCGGCAGTCCATGTGGGGCGGCGGCGGGGCGGCGACGGCGGCCACAATCGCCGCGACCGACTGACAGGCCTAGACGACGGGCGGCGACGAAGCGGCGACGGGGTGTCCACGGCGGAAATCAAGCGCCGCGACCGACAGGCAGGCCCAGACGACATGCGGCGACGAGGCGGCGACGGAGCGGCGACGGCGGCAGTCATGCGCGGCGACCGGCAAAGAGGCCCAGACGACGGGCGGCGACGAGGCGGCGACGGAGCGGCGACGGCGGCAACATAGCCGCCATATTGACAGACTGGCCCAGGTTTTTCCCAATTGGGCTGGCCTGAGGGGTTCTTATTTGGTTAAAAAAGAAGCGTTCCTCGGGGGGGCACGTCGCCCGTTGCTCGGAGATTCCACGGGTTCCTCGGGTTCCTCGGGATCTTCGGGATCCTTGGGTTCCTCGGGCAATGCCAAGCAATGCCAAGCAATGCCAAGCAATGCCAAACAACGCCAAACAATGCCAAGCAATGCCACGGAATGCCAAGCAATGCCAAGCAATGCCCAGCACTGCTGAGCAATGGCGAGCAATGCCAAGCAATGCCAAGCAATGCCAAGCACTGCGCCCATGAAATAGGAAGCCATCCTTGAATTTAGTTGGGGTCGCGCCGGGTTCAATAGTAACAAACAAGAGCCTCTCAGTGCAAACGCTGTTTGGTGATAAAAACATGAACCAGCGTCGGTAGCGAAGTGGATGGCAAGACCGCAGGGCACTTGGGTAGAAGACCCTCCCTAAAAAGGCCCATGATTGCCGCGAATAAGGCTGCGCTCTTACTAGAGGCTTCGCTTGTAGCGGTGCTTATTTTGAGGGTGGCTCCTCTGCCCTCGAGAAGAGCACCTCGCCAGCCTGACGAGCCACTTGTGTTCCGGATCCGCATGGCACCACCTTCCCCCTTCGACCTCGGCGGCGCGAAGATGGCCTGGTCGCGCACAGGGCGCCCCTCCGAGCGAGGAGGAGGAGGAGGAGGAGGAGGAGGAGGAGGAGGAGGAGGAGGAGGAGGAGGAGGAGGATGGAGGATGAGAGAGGAGGAGAGGAGGAGGAGAGGAGGGAGGAGGAGGAGGAGGAGGAGGAGGAGGAGGAGGAGGAGGAGGAGGAGGAGGAGGAGGAGGAGGAGGAGAGGAGGAGATGAGATGGAAGAGGAGGAGGACGAGGAGAGGAGGAGGAGAGGAGGAGGAGGAGGAGGAGGAGGAGGAGGAGGAGGAGGAGGTGTTCGCCGGTGCGCCCCCCTGGAGCGCCCGCGCACCCGAGGCGTGGTCGGAGCTGGACTATCACACGCGCCCCGGCCCGACGGGGAAATCTCCTGTGCGCGTCGTGGCCGCCGTCATCGCCGCCGCCGTCATCGCCGTCGCCGCGGCCACCGCCGCCGCCGCAGTCGCCGTCAACGTCGCCGCCACCGCCGTCGCGTCGCAGTCGTCGTCCGCCGCCGCCGCCGCTGTCGCAGTCGCCGTTGCAGTCGCAGTCGTCGCGGCCGCCGTCGCCGTCGCCGTCGCCGTCGCCGTCGCCGTCGCTGTCGCAGCCGCCGTCGTCGTCGTCGCCGTCGTCGCCGCCGTCGTCGTCGTCGTCGCCGTCGTCGTCGTCGTGGTCGTCGTCGTCGTCGTCGTCGTCGTCTTCGTCGTTGTCGTTGTCGTCGTCGTCGTTGCCGCCGTTTCGGCCGCGCTCGCGGTGGAGGCGGCGGCCCGCTGCCCCCGCTCCGCTCTGCCCACGTGGCCTGGGGCGTGCGCGGCAGACCGGCCTGGAGGTCGCGGTCGGCCACGCATCTCCCTGCCACGAGGAGCACAGCTGTCGGAAATCAGAGGAGGTCGAGTGGAGAGGGCGGCTGGGCGCCGCGGCTGGACGCAGCTCGGAAAACGGGTGCGTCACCGCTTGGACGCCACGGTCGGATGCCACGGTTGGACGAGTTGAAACAAGGGCTGCGGGGGGCCCCCCGGTCGCCACGGCCAGACGCAGCTCGGAGAACTGGTGTGTCCCTGGCGCGCTTCGCGGGGTCCATCGCCGACCCAAAAGATCTGCACGAACCTCCGAAATGTTGTGTGTATTTTTTTATCCAGAGGGGTTCACAGTATTCGGGCTCGCCCGCCTTGCCACTTCTTCTTCCGCCCCGCATGTTGCATGTGTCCCTTCCCCTTCTTTCTCCCTCGCTTTTCCTTCCCTTCCGTCATCTTATGACGCCTGCTTCTGTGATAATTGCTTGTGCCAGTATCGGCGGGATTACCCGTGGGAGTTGTACGCATCATGTTGTGTCTGAATGGTCAGAGGTATAGATGCTTGATTTGCGGAACCGTCCAACGCAACATTGCTGGCCGCGAGTTTGCGCCGTTTCTCCCTCTTCGTCCCTTTCGCATCTGCTGTTGTGATGGATTTGTTTGTTTGGCCGTCTGGGCCACACGGGGGTATCGCACAGGGTTGTTCTTCTACGCCGCGGTACTGTGCATGGGCTCACCTATTGTAGGTTGGCTAATGCTGCACCCGTCCCGGTATGATCTTTCCAGTTCTGTCTCACACGCTTTGAGAAGCCGTGTGAGATCATTCGCTGTGCGGACCGATGCGGGATGATATTTGCTGGGGCTGCGTTGCTGATGGGGAGCCTGCCAGTGTCCCCCAAAAGTGCCTGCACCTGGGGGTTCTTGCTTAGGTTGGCGGAAGGGGCTGGACTGGTACGCCGGTGGTTCGGCTGGTGCGCCCCCCCTCTCCGCCGCTTCCTCCCTCCTCTTCTCTGCCTTAATTCAAGCTTCGCGCGGCCCGCTTAGCTTCGACCGGACGAGTTGCGCTCTCGACCCGCGCATCCAAAAGTGCTTCGGCGGGTGCCCGGCTGGCGGGCGCCTCGCGGGCGCCTCGCGGGCGCCCCGCGCTGGGGGGGTGCGCCCAGCTTTCGCCCGGCGCCCGCCCGCGGGCGCCACGCGGGCGCTCGTGGGCGCCCCGCGCTCTTGGGGCACGGCGTGCCCGCCCGCGGGCGCCACGCGGGCGCCCCGCGCTGGAGGGGCATGCCGAGGTGTCGCCTGGTGCCCGCCCGTGGGCGCCACACAGCTCGCACCACGTGGCTGACGCAGCGTCGAGCGCGCGGCCTGCGCGGAGCACGCGCTCGAGTGCACTGCGCGGGGCGTGCGCTGCATCCTCGGGCCCTCCTGCAATCGCGGCGGACAAGGTCGCTGCGGGCATGCCGCTTGTCGTCTTAGGTCTTCAGGTCCGCGCAGACCTCGGCGGCTTCTCGTTCGCGAGTTTGCCACAGATTCAGACAGGCAAACCACACAACTCGCTGCACGTATCTGTACAGCCATCGCTTACACCGTGTAGTTTGCACAGCATGGCTTGCAGCGCAAAGCTCAGGCCGCATACCTTACACCACATACTTTGCACACCACCGTGCAATCCACATGGCTTACATCGCATAGCTCACACTACAATTCACGCCGCACACATTTCACAACATGTTAGCCAGCGCGGCTCCACACGCTGCGTTTCCAGCAAAGTATGTTGTACAATATATGTGGGCCAATCCGTGTAGTGCAGTCAGCGTGGTACAGCTTATCTTTGCAATTCATGTGTGGATATCGCAGTTGTCAACTCCACTGCTCGCGCAATCATCCCACCCACCCACCCGCAACTTGTTCTGCAAAACGCATGCGGCGGCGATTGCGGTGAGTGCTTGGTTTTGGCTGGCACATTCCTGCGGCCGCGCGAGCCCGCGCATGCTCGCGCGCGCTTCGGCCTGCCAGGTTGGCGTTGGCCAGCGCGGCCAGCCAGTTTGGCGCTGCCCGCTGGGCACGTCCCAGCGGGCTCTTCAGTGCGAGTTGGTGGCTTGGGCGGGCGCGGTCTCGTGGCAACGTGGACAAAAGTAGGCGCGATGATGATGGTAGTGATGCTGGTGACGATGATGACAACGGCGACGGCACGGCCAGTGACGGTGCCGATGCTGATCACGCCGGCGGCGATGATAGCGTCGTCGCGTCGGTGAAAAAGGTTTCGGAAGGAGTTCGACATGCGCGCGCGGCCGGCGAGCGAGAATGGCCCGCGTGGTATCATTTGCCCCCCAGCGCGCGCGCGCAAGGGCGTTCGAATGAGGCCGACATGCGGCACGAAAAGGCCACTTTGGCCGAATGTGGTGGTGAAGCGCCAGTACTTGCCCTTTTCGAAAATTCGCAAGAGCGCGAGCGCAGTTGTTTGAAAACTTATGTAGCGAAACACTTCTTGCACACGCGCACATATATATATATATATATATATATATATATGTATACATATATGTATATGTATGTATGTGTATATACATATCTCATAGACAAATGGGCGCACTCGATTTTGCCTTACAGAGTTCGGGTTTCGAAAGATTTCAACATGCGCCCGCGACGACGCGCGCGTGCGTGTTTCGCCCTCTGCTGTTTTGCATGGGGTTCTCGCGAAAGCACGCGCGCAAGGCGTTCGAACGATCTCGACATGCGCGCGCGAGAGGCCCGCTTGGTAGCAGTTTATGAAAATCCTGAAACACCAATGGTTCTCGTAAGAGTCCGCAAGTGCGCGGGCGTAAATTGCTTTTGAACATTCGTGTTGCGACACGATGAACATACATGTATGTTCAAAAACATGTTGACGGGACACTAGATTTTTAAGTTTGTACGAAACCTGCGGTTTTTTTGAAGGAGTTCGGCATGTGCGCGCGACGAGTCGCGCGTGTGCGCTTCGTTTTTTGTTTGTTTGTTGGTTCCCCTTTGTTTTTGTATAAGGGATTCTTGAAACGGCTGGTTGTTGATAAGCGAGTGTGCGCACATTTTTTTGCAAAGGATGATAACGGCCTGCCTGGGATGGTGTAGATTCATATGTAGGACGGACATTGGGGCACGATCGTATATGATTAGCAATCTGGAAAAAAGTGGGCGGTTCAATCTAGGGGGGGTGGACCCTGAGAAAGGAGAGCTAATTCCTGTTCGCAGTGAGTTGTCCACTCCAGTGAGTGCTGGCGCAATCATCCCACCCACCCACCCGCAACTTGGTTTGCAAAACCCAGGCGGCGGCGATGGTGATAAGTGCTTGGAGTTTGCTGGTGCGTGTCTGCAGCCGCGCTACCCCGCGTATGTTCGCGCGCGCAGCAAACGCCAGTTTGGCGCGACCGGCGCGATCTTGGTGGCGCTGACCGCTGGTCACTTCGCATCGCGTCTCGCAGGCCGCGCTGATGCACGGCCGTTTCAGTGCGAGTTGGTGACTTGGGCGGGCGCGGTATCATGGCGACACCGACATCCGTAGACGCGATGATGAGAGTAACGATGATGGTGACGATGATGACGATCACGACGGCAAGGGCAATGACGGCGTCGATGCTGATCGTGCCGATGGCGATGATGGTGCCTTCGCATCGGGGAAAAATGTTTTGAACAAAGACTTCGACATGCGTGCGCGGCCGTCGCGTGCCAGTGGCCCACACGGTATTATTTGACACAAATCGTGCCCCCTCAGCGCGCGCAAGGGCGTTCGAATGATTTCAATGCGTGCGCGCGCGAGAGGCTCGTTTGGCCGAGTTCGATGACATTCTTCCCACTCGAATTCTGCACGCTTCGCGTATCCCCACCAGTCCATCCCAAAACAACAGTTTTTGCGAAACATACTGGCTGTCGTTGTTTTCGGGCGGACCTTTCCTGGGGTCGCATATACCCTCCTGTTCCTCTTGCGTCCCACCTGTTCCCTTATAGCTTTTCCTTGTGGGAGGAGTGGGTGGGGGACGAGGCGGAGGAAAAAAAGAGAAGGCGGTGGGGAACGAGAGGGGGATATCAGCGACGACGTCGACGGCGATGACCAGGACGACGACGACGATCATTACGACGTCAACCGCGACGACACCGACGACGAAGACGACGACGACGAGTCAACCATCAATGCCTTTTCTGGGTCTTTCTCTTTCTGAAAGCCTCTTGGAGGCATCTTGGGGCTACCCAAGGGCGTTTTTTGGGGATATTTTGGAGGTCTCTGGGCACTTTTGGGGTCCCCGTGGTGTCTCTTGGGGCAGCCTTGGAGCTCTGTTGGGGGGTCTTGGGGCCGGCGTCGATTACGGCCCCCCCTTCGGAACCCGAGAAGTGGCCCCTTGGGGCCCTCTTGGGCCGCTCTTGGACGGCTCTTGGGCCGTGTTGGGCTTCTCTGGGGCCTGTCTTGGGGCTCTCTTGGGTTATCTTGGAGCCATCTTGAAGCCTCAAGAGCCAATTCTTGACGCCTCGCGTATCCCCACCAGCTCATCCAGAAACGATGCCTAGGCGAGTTGCCCCTCAGTGTCTCCTCGGATGCGTCTTGGAAGCTTTTTGGATGCTTTTGGAGCGTCTTGGGGGCATCTCGGCGGGCCCAGGGCCGTCTTTGAGCGTCTTGGGTGCCGCGGGGATCCTCTTGAGGTTTCTTTGGGGCCTCTTGGGGGCCTCTTGGAAGCGTCTTGGGCGCCTCTTGGGGCAGTCTGGGCGCCTCTTGGGGCCTTGCTGAGGCGCTCTTGGGAGCCCTGGGGGCGCTCTTGGGTCCATCTTGGAGGAGATCGACCAAAGAAGGGGAGACTTCGAGCAGCGCCGCCTCTCGAGAGTGCCTAAAAACGCCTCGTGGGCCCCTCTTGGAGCGCTCTTGGGGCGCTCTTGGGCGCTCTTGGGGCCGTTTTGGGGCTCTCTTGGGCCTCTCGTGGGGCCCTCTTGGGCCATCTTGGGGCCATCTTGATGCCCCAGAAGGCCATCAAACGCAAAAAGGCGATAAGGTCAGAATCAGTGAGTTTCGATACGTTTTTGAAGGATTTGGGCACCTCGGCGGCATCCTGGGGAGGCTCCGTGGCCATCTTGAACCGTCTTGGAGCGGTTTTGGGGCCTCTTGGAGCATCTTGGGAGCCATCTGGAGCTAGCTTGGGCTATCGTGAGCCATCTTGAAGGCCATCTTGGGCTCTCTGATGCCCCTCGGAGGCCGCTCGGGGGTCTCTTGGGGGCCTCTCGGGTGCTCTTTGGAGGTCTCTTGGGGCTTCTCGGGGCGCTCTTAGGGCCCTCTTGCGAGCCTCTTGGGAGCCCTGGAGGGCCTCTTGGGGCCATCTCGGAGGTGGTCGGTCAAAAGAGGGGGAGTATTCGATTTGCGTCCCCCCCTCGGGGGCCACGATCCTCGTGAGGGGTGGCAAACAATGGCCCTCCCAATGACCGAAAAAGGAGCCTTCGACACCTCGCGATCCCTCCCCAAAAACCTCAGGGAGGGGAGGGGGGGTCCCTTCTTTGAAGGGAAGAGAGGCTGTGGAAGAGGAACGAGACCCTCGTTAGACCATCTGTCGCCCAAAGGGCTGGTGGGATTCTTGCGGCTGCTGCTGCTGCTGGTGCTCTCTGGGAGCTTTGGGGGCCCTCTTGGGACCCTCTTGATAACCCTGGAAGGCTTCTTGGGACCATCCTGGAGGCCATCGATCAAAGGATGGGGGGGTCCCCGACTCAGCCCCCCCCCCCCCCCTCAGGAGCCCGCAAACCGCTTCTTGTGGCGCTCGAGCGCTCTTGGGCGCTTTTGGGGCCGTCTTGGGGCCCTCTTAGGGCAATCTTGGAGCTCGTGAGGGGCCCTCTTGGGGCTCTCTTGGAAATCCTGGAGGCCCTCTTGGGGCCATCTTGGAGGCTGTCGATCAAAAGAGGATGTTTCTTCATGTCTTCGTCCCCCTCTCGGGGGCCACGATCCTCGTGAGGGGTGGCAAACACATGGCCCTCCCAATGGCCGAAAAAGGAGCCTCCAACCCCTCGCGGAACCCCCCGTCCAGGTCCAGGGGAGGGGGTAAGGGGAAGAAGGGGTTGTGGAAGAGGGGAGAGGAATCTCGTTAGACCACCTGTCGCCCAGAAGGCTGGTGGGATTGAGCGCGGAAAGGCAGGGAGGGACACCACATTGGATTTCCCTAGTGTTTTTTTGCAAGGGATGAGGGGGGGGTCGGTTCCCGTTTGAGTGGGATCATGTGCGTTCACATCAAGACGTAACAACGGGGTATAATCGCAACTTGCAATTGAACACGGTGCTGGGGAGGGTGGTGGTGGTGGTAGATCTTAACTCACTTTTAGGAGGAGCGGCGACGGGGCGGCGATGGCGACCTTTTTGCCACCAGATCGCCACCCAGGCCCAAACGACGGGCGGCGACGGGGCGGCGACGGCGACAGCATAGCCGCCAGACCGCCACTCGGGCCCAGACGACGGGCTGCGACGAGTCGGCGACTGGGCGACGATAGCTGCCAGACCGCCACCCAGGCCCAAACGACGGGCGGCGACGAGGCGGCCACGGGGGGGCGACGGCGACAGGATAACCGCCAGACCGCCACCCATGCCCAGGTCCTTAGACCAGAAGTAAGAAGCCCTAAGCGCAAGTACTGTTTTGGGGGACTGGTGTGCACCGCCTAGCTTACGTAGCACAGTTCACACCGCACAGCTCACACCAAATAGCTCACACAGCATGGCTTTCATTGTCACAGCATAGCTTGCACAACACAGCTCACATCGCATAGCTTACACCGTATAGCCTTTGCGTTCACACTGCAATAGCCTTCTCTTCGGGGCCCACGCTGGCAAAGCGGTAGTTGTTGGCTCTTCTGTGAACGACCCCTCGTCGGACTCCTTCTTTCTTGATGGTGGCATGCTAGTTCCAGGCGACGGCAGTCGTCCCCAGGAACTGTGCATATACATGATCGCTCCACCCATCAATCGCCTTTGAGTTTGTATGATCTTGGCTGCTCTCACTCTCCTCTCTTTTCGCCTCTCCTCACCTTGGCTCTATCCTCTCCCCTCTCCCCTTCTCCGCTTCCCATGTTTTATGATTTCCAAGTTGGCGCCTCCCTTTTGGTTTTTTTCCTTGTTGAACCTGAGCGCAGGCGTATGTCGGTACCTTCTTTGCTGGTGCGGATGTAAAACTGTAAGTGCATTTAAAGTTGTATTTTTCTAGCGGAGCCATCATTCCCGATGAGACATCGGCAGTTTCTTATCATTACCCTATTCTTACGCATGGTCTGGTTTACGATCCCGTCGTCGTCGCCGTCTTTCTTCTATCCTTCCGCACTGGCCTGGTGGAGGATCGGCAAGAAGCTCGGCAGACTGCTGCAGGAATTCGCGGTCCCCACCCCCTCGCCATGGCCTTTGCCTCTCGTTCAGTCTTTGGTGCTACTATTTCGCCTGTCCCGGCTTTGGGTTGGGTCGGGCACTGGCATGCGGGGCTGACAGAGTCGAGCGCGGGGGGGAGAGAGGGAACTTGACCCTTGGTACGCCATTTTGGGTCAAGCGCGCGACGCGCGCCTCCCGGGGGGAGGGGGGTCTTGCCCGCGCGTGCGGACTTGGCTCAGAAGGCGCGCCTCGGTGGGGTTCCCCCCTCTCCCCTCCCCTCGCGGTCGTGCTCTGTTGGGCGCCGCTGCCTTGATCTCTCTCTCTCTCTTTTTTTTTTTTTTTCTCTCTCTCTCTCTCTCTCTCTCTCACCTGGCCACGCCGCTGCTCGGGATTGCACTTTGGTCTCGGGGAGGCCCTCGCCGCCACGGCTGGACTCGGGATCGATCCAGAACGGGATGGTGTCAGTGCGCATTGCGGCCATAAGGGCAGGAGGAGGAGGGGGGGAGAGGGAGGAGGAGGAGGAGGAGGAGGAGAGGAGGAGGATGAGGAGGAGGAGGAGAGAGAGGAGGAGGAGGAGGAGGAGGAGGAGGGGAGGAGGAGAGGAGGAGGAGGAGGAGGAGGAGGGAGGAGGAGGAGGAGGAGGAGGAGGGAGGAGGAGGAGGAGAGGAGGAGGAGGAGGAGGAGGAGGAGGAGGAGGAGGAGGAGGAGAGGAGTGAGGAGGAGGAGGAGGAGGAGGGAGGAGGAGGAGGGAGGAGGAGGAGAGGAGGAGGAGGAGGAGGAGGAGGAGGAGGAGGAGGAGGAGGAGGAGGAGGAGGAGGAGAGGAGGAGGAGGAGGAGGAGGAGGAGAGAGGAGGAGGAGGAGGAGGAGGAGGAGGAGGAGGAGGAGTGAGGAGGAAGGAGGAGAGGAGGAGGAGGAGGAGGAGGAGGAGGAGGAGGGAGGAGGAGGAGGAGGAGGAGGGAGGAGGAGGAGGAGGGGATAGTAGGATTAGGAGTAGGAGGAGGAGGAGGAGGAGGAGGAGAGGAGGAGGAGGAGGAGGAGGAGGAGGAGGAGCAGGAGGAGGGGGAGTACCAGTAATGCAGTTCTTGTTCTGCCCACGGAGCGGGAGTCACAGCGGCTCCCCAGGGGCGGACTCGAACGCACATGTTTCCATCACGAGCTTCTGGGGCATAGCACCCCCGACGTCTGCTCGGGGTCGTGGTCGGCGCGCGTGCGTCCGGCCCCCTCAGAAAGCCCCAGGACCAGCCCGAGATGCCCCCAAATGGGCGAGGATTGGGAAGGCAGGAGGAGGCAGGAGGGAGGGAAGAGGGAAGAGGGACGAGGGAAGAGGGAGGGTCGGGGGAGGAGGGAGGGGGTAGGGAGGAGGAGGAGAAGGAGGAGGAAAAGGAAGAGGAGGAGGAGGAGCAGGAGGAGCAGAAGGATGATGATGATGATGATGATGATGATGATGATGATGATGAGGATGATGATGATGATGATGGATGATGATGAATGATGTGATGATGATGTGGCTGATGATGATGATGATGATGATGATGATGCTGTGATGATGATGAGATGAGATGATGATGTGATGATGATGATGCTGATGATGCGATGATGATGATGATGATGAGATGTGCTGATGATGATGATGATGATGATGATGATGATGATGATGATGATATGATGATGATGTGATGATGATGTCTGATGCTGATGATGATGATGATGCTGATGATGATGATGAGGATGATGATGATGATGATGATGATGATGATATGATGATGATGATGAGATGATGATGATGATGATGATGAGATGGATGGATGAGAGGAGGAGAAGGAGGAGGAGGAGGATAGAGGAGGAGGAGGAGGAGGAGGAGGAGGCAGGATTAGTAGGGGATAGGAGGAGGAGAGGAGGAGGAGGAGGAGGAGGAGGAGGAGGAGGAGGAGGAGGAGGAGAAGAGGAGGAGGAGGAGGAGGAGGAGGAGGAGGAGGAGGAGGAGGAGGAGGAGGAGGAGGGCAGCGATCTCAGAAGGCCCCCGGGCCCCCCTGCCTTCTTAGAAGGCTGCTGCCCCCCCCATTTCGCCCTGGTCCCTCCTGCGCTCTCGCCGCCGGCAGCAAGTACTCCTCCTGCCCCCTCCCCTTCCCGTCAGGGGCAACGATAGGGGGAGATAGGTATACACCTTAGGCGATGCTTAAGAATACCCAAGTTTTCGGCCAGAGTCTCGATTATTCTTAATGTTTCAATGTACATCCCACGATTTGAATCGAGATTCTGGGTTTTTATTCAAATTCTGAGACTATGAATTTCTTAACCCATGATTTCTAAAGCATTTCGCAGGGTGTAGAGGGGATGCATCGATCCCCAATCGCCCATTGATCGCTGATAGGGACCCGATTGCCCCACCCCGCCTAAGAAGGTGCGGATTCACGATCGGGAGCCTATCGCCGATCTATCGGCGATGTATCCCCGATTCTGAGTCAGTGCATCCCCCCTATGCCTATCCCCCCCTATCGCTGCCCCTCATCCTGTCCTCCCTCTTTCACCGAGTGCGTTCCACTACTCGCAGTGCCTACTCGCAGACGTCCGAAAAATGCGCGTCTTCCTCTGTGTAGTGGTAGTGGATCGTAAATTTCCCGCGGCGGATCCAGGCCATTTTGCGAGTGGTTCCTTTCGCGAGTAGCGGAATGCGCTTGTCTACTCTCGGGGGGGGGTCGCGGGAGGAGTGGGGAGGACGAGAGCGCGGGGGAGGGGTCGTCGAGTTCTTGACACTTCTCTCAGGTCTTGCGCGTGCCAGCAGACAGAATCAGGACTTCGACGGAATGTGCTCTTCATCCTTGGATGGTTGATGTCGTTGGTGCCCGAGGTGGGGGTCATATCGCACGTGCGTTCTGACATGGGTCCTGGGGCCGATGGCCGCCCACTGGAAGCGGCGTCGCCTATCCCCGCCAGCCCGCCCAGAGAGGATGCCCAGGCGAGGTGCGTTGATCGGGGAAGTGTAGGAGAGCAAGCCGTGAGGCAAAGAGGCGGTGAGGGCAGCCGTCAAACCGAAGCACGGGATCGGCCTGCGCAAGCCCAGGAGTTTCTATCGTACATGCCTTCGCGGGTCTTTCGAGATAGGGGCCTCCTGGCAGCGTCCTCCTTGGAGCCTTTTTTGGGGGCTCTCTTGGGGCTCCCGTTGGAGCTGTCTTGGAGCTTTCTCGTGGCTCTCCTGGGGCCCTCGTGGTGGCCCTGGGGGCTGTTTTTGGGGCCATCAAAAAAGGGGGTTCTTGGTGTCAGCCCCCCCCCCCCCCCTTCCCCCTCTCCCCCATACGCATCCTTGGCCCTCCTCGGAGCGTTCTTGGGGCGCCCTTGCAGCTCCCTTGGGCGCTCTCGAGGCCGACTTGGAGCCCCCCCCTTTTGGGCCCCTCTTTGGGCTCTCTTGAGGCCTCAGACCAGTTGGAAGCGAAGAGGTGATACGGCCAATAAGATTTGTTCTTCTCTGGTGTTGGAAGGATTTGGGGATCTCGGGGGCGTCCTTGGAAGACCCCGAGGCAACTTGAAGCCGCTTGGGGACGAACTTGTGGCCATTCGGAGGCATGGTTTGAGGCTGTATTGAGCCATCCCGGGCTACCTTTTGCCATATTGTAGGCCATCTCGGGCTGCTTGAGGCCGTCTTGGAGCCACATTGGGCCAGATCGGACACCCTGACCCCCGAATCCCCCCTCCTCCAGACCCAGGGCGGTGAGCTGCCTGGTGTCTCTTGAGGCACTGCTGGGTCATCTCCTCGGCGGCCTTCGTGAACTTCCTGGGCCGCCTGGGAAGCCTTGGGGTATCAGTATCGCTTAACCGATCCCCATCCCCATCCCCATCCACATCTCGAGCCCCTCCGTCTCACCATCTCAGCTGGGGACCTGCCCCTCGAAACCCGAAGAGAGCAGCCTATATCCCCATCCAGGGGGGTGCACCGGCCAGTGGGGCCCAGCCCAGGCTTGTGGGGATGGGGATCGGTTAAGCGATGCTCAGGGTACTCCAGATTTCGTAATAAAGGGAGGGGGGTCTCATTTCGGGGGGGGGGTCTCTTCCAGGCTATCGTGGAGGGCCTGGGGGGTCTGGGGACGATGTTCTGGAGGGTTCTCCCACGGGGGAGGTCTGAAATGGCCTGTCTTGTAGGGTCCAGACCCCCTCCCTTTTATCACGAAATCTGGAGTAAGCGATGCTCAGGGCAGCCTTGCAGAGCACCAGAGGCACGCCAGGCCTCTCCTCGCCACGGGGGTTGGATGCGTGTCCCGCTGTGTGGCGAGAGGGGAGGTCCTTAGAGGCAGCCTTGCGGGAACCATTCCAGGCAGCGGTGGGCACTCTGCCGCGCCTCGACGTTCCGGGCGGCGCGGTGGAGCACATTACGGGGGCATGGCGAAGCGAGAGACAGAGAGAGAGAGAGAGAGAGGGAACGAGAGAAAGAGAGAGAGACGGAGGCATATATATATATATAGTTATGTATACAGAACGAGGAAGAGAGAGAGAGAGAGAGAGGCATACACGCATATACATCCTTGTATATATATAAATGCAGAGAGAGAGAGAGAGAGAGAGAGAGAGAGAGACAGAGAGAGAGAGAGAGAGGGAGAAAGATAGAGAGGGAGAGAGAGAGAGAGTGAGAGATAGATCGAGAGAGAGGGAGAAATAGAAAAAGAGAGAGAGAGATAGGGGGCACAAAGAGGGATGCAGGGGCAAGAGGTGCAGAGAGCGGTTGTTCCACGTCACACCATCATGTCTTCCATCCCTCCGTCTGCAGTGCCGCTCTGCGCCGTGGTGCCCGCGGCAGGTGAAGGCCTACCCTCAGAAGTACGCCATGGATGGTCATTGCCGCAACCGGGGGTAGGGAGGGAGGGAGGGGACGTGGGCGCCGCGGGCGGGTTGAAGGACGGGAAGGGGGCAGGAAGGAGGGAGGAAGGGTGTTTGGAATGCCTCGCTCTGGTTGTCCCGCTCTTTCCATGCCTTGCTCATGTCGGGACATGCACCACTTAGGCAGTGGGTGGGCCACGCTTCATGGTAATGATTTGCACTGCCTCACTTTGACAAGAGAGGGGCGTCTGGGGTGCGGAGGGGAAAGGGGAACGCAGGGGAGGAGGAGGAAGGGGGAGTACATACATGTCTGTCCCCAAACATGAAGCCATGCTTTTCGGCGCCCTAGCGCGGGAGGAGAAGGAGGATGATGATGAAGCGGAGGAGGAACGACGAGAAGGAGGATGGAGGAGGAATGATGGAGGGAAGAGGTGGAAGGAGAGAGGAGGAAGAGGTGGGAGGAGTAAGGAGGACGATAACGGATTATGATCGACGATTTCTCTCGCTTCGCGGGGTGCACGTCCGGAGCACGTAAAGATTGGGCGTTGGGTGGCTTGCCTTGCTCGTCTGCCGCGAGGTTCTGCCGTGTCGTTCTGAGGATGAGGATGATGATGATGATGATGATGATGGTGATGGTGATGGTGATGGTGATGGTGATTGATGATGCTGATGATGATGCTGATTATGATGTTGATTATGATGATTAGGAAAGGGAGGAGGATGAGCATGAGGATGAGGAGGAGAAGGAGGATGATGATGATGAGGATGATGATAATGAGGAGGATGATGTTGAGGATGAGGTTGAGGATGAGGAAGAGGAAGACGATGAGGGTGATGATGATGATGATGGTGATGATGGTGATGGTGATGATCATGATGATGGCGATGACGAAGACAATGACGATGCTGCTGCTGATGATGATGACGATGATGATGATGATGATGATGCTGATGATGATTATGCTGATGGTGATGATGATGCTGTTGTTGATGACGATGATGGTGAGGATTATGGTGATGATGCCAGATTGTGAGGATGGCGGGTCAACGGAAAGAAACGCAGAGGAAGTCTGATGACTGCGGAGATGATGATGATGATGATGATGATGATGATGATGATGATGATGATGATGATGAGGAGGAGGAGGAGGAGGAGGAGGAGTAGGATGATGATGATGATGGTGATGATGATGAGATGTTGGTGATGGTGATGTTGGTGGTGATGGCAATAACGATGATGACGACGACGATGATGATGGTAAGCAAGATGATGGTTATGGTGATGTTGATAGTGATTGTGCTGCTGCTTGCAATGGTCAATAGGACTGCGATAGTTCTGCAGCTGATGATACTGGTTGTGATGATGACGACGACAACGACGGTGATGCATATGATTTTGTCGATTGCGATGATGGTGCTAGTGACAAAGATGATGTGTATTATGATGGTGTTCGCGGTAAAAACGGAGCTAGTTGGCTATGCAGACTATGGTGATGATGATGCTGGCGGCGATGATGGTGGTGAGGGGGTGATGCTGATAGTGACGACGACGGTGACAATGACGATACTGCTGATGACGATGATGATGGCGATCGTAACGATGACGATCATCATGACCGTGATATGTGACAGTTGTGGCCATGGCCATGCTGTCGTTGACCATGGCGACGACGACGACGACGATGATGATGACGGTGATGATGCTAGTAATAATGAGGATGCTGATGACAATTGAATTCGGAGGTGGATGATGCGGATGACGGTGGAGGGATCATGGTGGCGACGCTGATCATGATCATGATCAGGATGATGAGGATTATGACAATGATTATGTTGAGGCTGCTGGTAACGATATGGATGATGATGATGACGATGATGATGATGACGACCGCGATGATGATGATGATGATGATGATGATGATGATGATGATGATGATGATGATGATGGTGATGATGATGATGATGATGATGATGATGATGCTGATGCTGATGATGATGATGATGATGGTGATATGATGATGAGGATGATGATGATGGCAATGATGATGATGATGGTGCTGATGATGCTGATGATGATGATGATGCTGATGCCGATGGTGCTGCTGATGATGATGGTGGTGGTGGTGATGATGGTGATGATGCTGATGATGATGATTGTGGTGGTGATAATGATGGTGATGGCGGCAGGTGGTGAGGATGGCGGCTCAACGTCACCATGGCGGCGACGACGACGACGATATTGAGAATGATGAGGAGGCTAATAATAATGATGATGCTGCTGATGATAATTGAAGTCGGAGGTGGATGATGCGGATGACGGTGGAGGGATCCTGGTGGCGACGCTGATCACGATCATGATCATGATGATGAGCATACTGACAATGATGCTGATGATGATGAGGATGATTATGATGATGACGATGATGATGACGATGATGATGATGATGATGATGATGATGATGGTGATGGCGATCCTGGTAATGATGGTGGTGGTCGTGGCGGTTATGTTAGTGATGATAGTGGAGCTGATGCTGCTGGTGCTGATGCTTCCGCTGAGACTGGTGGTTCTGCCTCTGACCTTTTGTGACGACGATGTTGTTGATGATGATGCTGCTGATGAGGCTCACCATGATGACGATGCTGTAATGCTGATGCTTTGATGATGATGCTGCTTCTGATGATGATGATGATGCTTCTCATGATGAGTATGCTTATGTCAGTGGTGATGATACTGCTGATGACGATGCTGATGCTACGGATGATGATGGAGATGCTGATGCTGATGATGATGCTGATGATAATGATGGTGATGATGACGATGATGATGATGATGATGATGATGATGATGATGATGATGATGTGATGGAGATGGTAATTGTGAGGTTGTTGCTGATGATGATGGCGATGATGCTGATTCTGATGATGATGATAATGATGCTGATGATGACGACGATGACCATGCTGTGGATGATGATGACGAGGATGATGATGCTGACGATGATGCTGATGCTGCTGATGATGCCGATGATGATGATGATGATGCGGAGAAGGGTGAATAGGAT